GGAAGGGATCAACTCGAGCCAATAGCACGCCGTATCAACACGAACAGCAGTAGTTTTTAATTTCTTCATCACTGCAGCTTCGGTGTTCGATAGGGGGACTGTATCGAGCTTAACTTTCATTTCTTGATCACAGCAACTTCGGTGTTCGATAGGGGGACTGTATCGAGCTTAACTTTCATTTCTTGATCACAGCAACTTCGGTGTTCGATAGGGGGACTGTATCGAGCTTAACTTAAATTACTCATACTCTCGTAATCTCATATTATGGTCTCTCAAAATATCGAAAATTGGATTATGTGAAGGAAGTTTTTCTTGTAGGAATCTACGTTTTGCGTTTTAGTTCTAGTGATGCCTACAATAAGACTATCCTTTATTGCATTGGTTGAAAAATAGTGTCAAAATTTGTTTAGCTCGGAAAACGTGGAAACTTTATGATAACAATTGTGACGAAGTTTTGTGCTTAGTTCTTAGGAAACAGATTTTAAATTACCAAATAAGTTCGCGGGGAATAAGAAGAATCTAAAAACTACTCAAGATGGCGGATGTGTTTAAATGGAATTGAGCTGGCCAGCAGATGGCGTTGTTATTTTTAAACCCTTGTTACGTTTGATTGGGTCACGAACTCGAATCAAAACTCAGATCCATACACAGGAATGTAAACTTACACAATGCCGACCTGTGACTCCACGACCTCCCAGCGCATTAGCCGGCTAGGTCAGCGCCCAGCATGGGGCTGTAGACGGCGCAGGTTCAGATCCCTGCTGGTGTGATGCTGACTTATGTCGGGGTGTGCGGGCTTAAAACTTTTCCTCTGTGGTGGCCGTCCAGTTTTGTCATGTGGGTGATTCGTAAAGTGAGGACAGTTTATTTTGTGGTGGTCGTGTTCCTGATAGCTATAGCTTTGATATCGATGACGATTCTACAGCCGCTAGAGAGCACCGCCTGGAACTATATGGTGTCCACAGAAAGCAGGCAGGCAGTCCTTCACAGGCAGGTGAGCTCAGGTTTACAGCAGGCGTTAAAGCACCTCAGTAATTTCAACAAAGGTGGCGATAGGGGTCTGACTATCCACGAGGATAGTTTCTACAGTTTTTGTGTGGGTATGTTAGCGTAGACACTGTGCATATTGAGTTAGAGTGGATCATATTCGTCGAATTGAGACGTAACCTTTTCCCCCTTTTGCATACAAACAATAATAGCATTATGACATTAATCACTTTCTATTACAGTTTACTAAAACTTTCTACAAAAAACATAGTCACTATGTCCAACCCACCCTCTCCCCTGAAGAATCTGACGTTGTTTGTGAACGACACACAATGGATAAACAATCACATTACGCATGACCGGCTATTTACAGAAATAATTTAACATTAACATTTCGACAGTAGTGGTTTATCCCATTTTGAGGCATTAAATCATCAAGAGTCCTCCGCCCCATAGAAAAATCTGCTCTTGATAGTAAAAGTACCAGATAAATGTCACACACGTTTCTTCATGAGATCCTCAAGAAAGTCTTAGGAAGTTGAAGTACCCAGATCAAACGATTTGTTACAGTAAAAAGTACAGCCCCAACACACGTCGCTAGTAAAACTTCCACAACAATCATCAAATACAGGAGACACACCAGTTTTATCCTTTATGTATTTGCTTTTAATCAGAAATCGGAATTTTAATTTTACCTTTATAATCTGTAACAGTTAAAGGTGGCAAGATATCATCTTTAATACACATTCGATCTAGTATCAATACATTGTTATACACAATATAATTAGCAACAATGTTTGCATACATGTGATCTAGTAGCAATACAGTCTTACATCTTAAAACTAGTAGCAATACAGTCGTGCATCTTAAAACTAGTAGCAATACAGTCGTACATCTTAAAACTAGCAGCAATACAGTCGTACATCTTAAAACTAGTAGCAATACAGTCGTACATCTTAAAACTAGCAGCAATACAGTCGTACATCTTAAAACTAGCAGCAATACAGTCGTACATCTTAAAACTAGCAGCAATACAGTCGTACATCTTAAAACTAGTAGCAATACAGTCGTACATCTTAAAACTAGCAGCAATACAGTCGTACATCTTAAAACTAGCAGCAATACAGTCGTACATCTTAAAACTAGCAGCAATACAGTCGTACATCTTAAAACTAGCAGCAATACAGTCGTACATCTTAAAACTAGCAGCAATACAGTCGTACATCTTAAAACTAGCAGCAATACAGTCGTACATCTTAAAACTAGCAGCAATACAATTTGTTTCCTTAGGCGCCCACTGGGAGCAAAGCAAGATACGGCCACGCAGACATAGACGATTTTATTGAAGACTTAAAGTATCTATACAACGAGACGGAAATAGCCGATGGAAACAGAACATACCTAGTATTCGCCCTGAACGATACTGAAGACTACTCGGTATTTCTAAGAAGGCTAAACAAACTAGTGGAGGAAGGACCACGACTGAAAGCCTACACCAACTCTACTGGGTAAATCTTTTACTTTCTATCAGCATCAGATCTCCTAAACTCACAGCTAGAACCACATAGCTATGTCATTGCTAAATCCGGTACTCTCGTATCTGCCTTATACTTATAAGATAAAAAAGCATACTGCCCAGCTTTGATTAGGTTTTTGAAAAAAATGTTACCCTATACATAACCCCACTACTAATACGAATCAATTCTTAACTTAACACCATTTTTAATTAAACACTAACAATTTCAATTTAAAATTAATACTGTACAAAAAATAAAATAAAGAGTCTTTCATCTTTTAAGCTTACTTTTATTACCTAATCGATTTAATACTTATCAGCAGTGGCGTAGCGAGGTCGGGTGTCACCCGGTGCGGCACTTAATGGTGTCACCCCCCCCCCCCCAGAAGCGTTGCGACCCTTCCCGGGGACAAACTTTCAAGTTTTCGATTTGCACCCCCCCCCCCCCCTCAAACTTTCGATTTGCACCCCCCCCCTCAAACTTTCGATTTGCACCCCCCCTCAAGTTTTTCTCTATATATTTTGCTATTTTTTGCCTTGGTGTCACCCCCCTAAATGGTGTCACCCGGTGCGGTCCGCACCCCCCGCCCCCCCCCCCTCGCTACGCCCCTGCTTATCAGTTCGAAGGCGTAGATCGGATGGAGGAGAGGGGGTAGCGCACGACTGCTGTCCCCAAAACATCGAGTTCGGATACCGGACCCAAGTCTGTAGGACGTACCTCATTCGATTCAGCCCCGACAGCTACTTATTACGTTAGGGAAAGCAAAGGCGGCCGAGCAAGGAATTTAAATAGATAAACTCTAATTCACCGCCATACAATTTAGATGCACACAATTTTTGTAAACAGATTTTCGTTTTCTATTGTTAAGAAAATGAGCACCTAATTATTGTGCAGAACGTAAAAAGAATTGCTCAATTAACATGTGGAGAAACTGAAGGATTATATTAAGTTAACTATTATATTAAGTTATGTTTATGATTAAAAATGTTCTGAAATTAATACTCTAAAGTATAGTTTCCCCTAAGTCTTAGAGAGATACCTAGGTCTATGCAAAAAATCAGCCATATGCGCAGAGCCTAATTACCCTCACATTTTTTTGAAAATTTGCCGATGTTTTTCACAAAAATTAAAATGTTTATATTGGAAAATAAAGTCTCTTTTATAACAGCTTCTCGAGGCTTCCCCTATGTTTCTGGCGCCCAATCATTAAGCTTCTTCTGATTAGTACCGATTGTTACCAACCAAACGACTGTATAATTACACCCTAGCGTAGGGTTCTTAACCAAAACACAGCGTTAATGTTAACGTACGCTTAACTAAACACTTGAAATAATTCATAACCCTAAAAGCCTTAAAAACAATCTAACCATCAGTGACGTAGCTAAGTCGGGTTTCACTCAGTGAGGCTCCTCATGATTTCACCCCCTCAGAAAAAAATATATATGCTTAGAAAAACTTCTGTATATTTATACATATTTATACATGTGTATATTTGTGTATAGCATATTATGTATATTTATTATTATATCGTTTTTTTTAAAATGTATTTTCCCATGGACAGCGTATTTCCGTTCTGTCTTTAAATTTAATTATTCTGAATTTAATATATATCAACCATAAAACCCTAATTGTAACCAAATTCCATTATAAGAAAGTATGTTAAGTAGCATAACGTAAGGCTGGGGTTGATGACATAACAACAGGAACTCTATTCATGCAAGTGTAGGTATCAGTGGTTGATGTATCGAATCCCGTGTCTCTGGTTCCATATCCAGCACCTCACCCTGGGAGATGTTCTACAGTGGCATCAACCAGAACTACCTGTACAACCCGTGTTTCTGGTTCTATTTCTAGCACCTCGCCCTGGGAGATGTTCTACCGTGGCATCAACCAGAACTACCTGTACAACCCGTGTTTCTGGTTCTATTTCTAGCACCTCGCCCTGGGAGATGTTCTACCGTGGCATCAACCAGAACTACCTGTACAACCCGTGTTTCTGGTTCTATTTCTAGCACCTTGCCCTGGGAGATGTTCTACCGTGGCATCAACCAGAACTACCTGTACAACCCGTGTTTCTGGTTCTATTTCTAGCACCTCGCCCTGGGAGATGTTCTACCGTGGCATCACCCAGAACTACCTGTACAACCCGTGTTTCTGGTTCTATTTCTAGCACCTCGCCCTGGGAGATGCTCTACCGTGGCATCAACCAGAACTACCTGTACAACCCGTGTTTATGGTTCTATTTCTAGCACCTCGCCCTGGAAGATGTTCTACCGTGGCATCAACCAGAACTACCTGTACAACCCGTGTTTATGGTTCTATTTCTAGCACCTCGCCCTGGGAGATGTTCTACCGTGGCATCAACTACCTGTACAACCCGTGTTTCTGGTTCTATTTCTAGCACCTCGCCCTGGGAGATGTTCTACCGTGGCATCAACCAGAACTACCTGTACAACCCGTGTTTCTGGTTCTATTTCTAGCACCTCGACCTGGGAGATGTTCTACCGTGGCATCAACCAGAACTACCTGTACAACCCGGACTCAGGTGACGACCTCAAGAACCTGCTCAAGGAGTTGAGCTTCAAGCCTGTGGCCCATTCAGGTGAGTGATAAACATATTGGCCAGGTGTGTGATGACGTAATGGCCAGGTGAGTGATGACTTAATGTCCAGGTGAGTGATGACGTAATGGCCAGGTGTGATGACTTGATAGCCAGGTGAGTGATGACTTAATGGTCAGGTGAGTGATGACTTGATAGCCAGGTGTGATGACGTAATGGCCAGGTGTGATGACTTAATGGTAAGGTGAGTGATGACTTAATGGTAAGGTGAGTGATGACTTGATAGCCAGGTGAGTGATGACTTAATGGTCAGGTGAGTGATGACTTGATAGCCAGGTGTGATGACGTAATGGCCAGGTGTGATGACTTAATGGTAAGGTGAGTGATGACTTAATGTCCAGGTGAGTGATGACTTGATAGCCAGGTGAGTGATGACTTAATGGTCAGGTGAGTGATGACTTAATGGTTAGGTGAGTGATGACTTGATAGCCAGGTGAGTGATGACTTAATGGTCAGGTGAGTGATGACTTGATAGCCAGGTGTGTGATGACGTAATGGCCAAGTGTGATGACTAGATGGTAAGGTGAGTGATGACTTAATGTCCAGGTGAGTGATGACTTGATAGCCAGGTGTGATTACTTGATGGTCAGGTGACACTTAATTGAGCATTAGTGACCTGATGACACCTTTTCTACTGCTAACAACACCTCTATGCCATCACAGGATGTTTTACACTTTGTCATTGAGCGATGTTTACTTTAGTGAAATGCGTTGTATGACTAAATAACAGCTGATGGAGAACTGAACCCCGGTTTTCTTGGTCGTCCATTTCTGCATATTGGGAACATCAAATTCAAATACAATCTAATTTCTGATACAAAAAATACATATCAAAATACAATCTAATTTCTGATACAAAAGCTCGACATTTCGGTTCGAGTTTTTGGCGAGCAGGATTCTGGAAACAGATTCTACACACCAAATCACCCTGTCTAACCCTTAGCTCCGCCCTATTTCAATGGTTCAAGGAGCAATATTGGTTCAATTAAATGAAAAAGTCGAGAGGAAAGTCACGAATGAACGGATAATTGAAAAATCACGGCTGATGTTTTCAACTACGACATTCCAAATTGATTCAACTCAAATCTTTTCTTTTTGAAGTTATTAAAGTGATGTTAAGTCAAGCATGAGGCAATTTTAAAAAATTGAATAAAAAATCATTTAATCAAAATAAACGTATTGAAATAAATCTAAAAATAATGAAACCATAGTTAAATAAATATTATGTTCACTTTTACTTTTTAGTTTTTAAGCTTGAAAGTTGATTATTTGAAAACAAATATAAGAAGCAACTAATTAATAAAAACAGCAGCTAACATGACCTTTGACCTCCCTTTCTAGTTGAGTACAAGATGGGCTCCCAACTAAAGTTGCTCTTGACGTTTACAGATGGTGGCCAGGGACTCTTCAAGCCCATGAGGTTAGTGTTTGGCCAGATCGTCTTCATCGGAAATGTGAATTGGTCTTTGATCTGGCTAAATATGACGTCGTTATTTGTTAGTTAGCTTATCACCTTACAAAATGTAAGCATTCACATTTTTCCCGATTTTAGCTGATCTTGGAGGGAAGGTATCCTCTGGTGGTGCGCCTACTTACAAACAAAACAGTTTATTGTGTCACAGTAGGGTGTCGTACGATCCCCTACCCCGGGCAGCATCACAGTTGTGGTTTCTACTGCAACATATCACATCCACTGTTTTCATAGTCTCGACCCCCACAGCAATCCCGCCTCCCCTCCCCGCCAGTTATGTATCAAATTCCAATCAATTAGAGAGTATCGACTAATCATGAAATGAAAAACATCCGATATTTAGTGTGTTGTAGGGCAAGTGTGTCGTTAAGGTAAACAAAAAACCCCCACATCAAGTGAGATGGGAGGCTAGTGTGTCGTATGAACACGTCGTAAAGTGTGTTTGTGTGTATGTCAGGATGGTAGGTCTCATGAGTATCGTTTGATAGTCTGACCGTTGACCCCCACACGTGTGCCCGTGCCCCCCTCCCCCCCCCCCCACCATGCAGTCGTGCTGATCCTGAGTGAGTGAACTACTTTATTTCTCTAACTCGCCCACTCAAACGTTTTGATAGGACTTAGGTTTGAAGAAAAATCGACACTCAATAATGTTCTAAAAAACGTGTATCGACCCCTAACACATCTGCTGCCGAGTTAATAAAGTGGTACGAACCTTGTTCAACCAATCCATCTCAACAAGGTGCTTTTTACAGCCGCGAACAAATGCTGTTAAACCTTCCAAAGCTGGGTTGTGCAGGGGAAGTAGTGTTACCTGTATGCTTAGAGGTGTGTGTCGTACCAGTGTATACATTTTTGTGTAGGTGCCCCCCCCCCCCAGCTAACGACATGTCCCGTGGCATTTAGTGTTATGAACTCAGGAAACTGAAATGATGCAAAAAATAGTTGAAGTAACTCACATCTTGTGTTTTGAACCCTCGTGTTTGAGATCAAGTATTTCAGACTTTTTACTCCGGGACGACGGAGCACTTGGGGCGAACAGTGGCTGCAGTATATATTTTCTATATACATTCTTTTTCGTCCGTGGAGGGTGGGGGTAGGGGGTGGGTGGGGGCTTGACAGTGCGAAGAGCTTAGAATATGGTGTTTGTTTAGTACTAAGTGTTAGGGAACAGTTTGTGGCAGTTTCTAATTTTGTTAAACTTCCAAATGTACGGTTATATTAACAAAGACAAAAAGTTTAATCAAATCATGAACAAGAAAACACCATTCTCGCCAGATTTTCACGTCAACTGGAGTCATCGTCAGAAAGTTTTTTCTTCGAGGACATTGAGCGCCACACGGCAGAGATAGCAGCGTTTCATGTGGACAGGTGGGTACCTGCTGACCAGTGGGTCTCAACATCTTTACAAGTCTACTGTTGAATTTTACTCACTGTTTGCACAAAGTGCTAGGTATAACATAATGAATTGTACTCACTGTTTGCACAAAGTGCTAGGTATAACATAATGAATTGTACTCACTGTTTGCACAAAGTGCTAGGTATAACATAATGAATTGTACTCACTGTTTGCACAAAGTGCTAGGTGTAACACGATAAATTGTACTCACTGCTTGAACAGGGTGCTGGGTCTGCACAGGTCACCACCGGTAGCTGGACGTTGGCTCAATGTGACGTCAGACGTGCTTAAGGCAGGGGACAGTGACGTCAGCAGACGTGTGTTCCAGTCACCTGGTAGGTCACATGACTTTTGCTGACACGTGACTCAACCAGGACATGTCATTTGTCTGGAGGTGACATTTATTACAATGACATATAATATGACATTGTAGCTCTTGTGTGACAAAGCTGGGTAATGACAATAGCTACATGACTTTTGCTAGGGCACGATGCCTGCACAGTGACGTTAGCTAGATGACATCAGCGTATTTGGTCAATACTTCTTTCAATAACAATTTGTTTATTTTAGTGTCTCCTCTAACTAATCTGTATCAATCATAACTTCAAACAAAACACTAAATGTATAGCCCCCAACAAAACACTAATTGTATAATCTCCAACAAAACTATTAATAACCGTACAATCTCCAACCATATTGTTAACAACCGTATAATCTCCAACAAAAGCTGTATAGAACCACAATCTCCAGCAACAAACTTAAAATTTTTGTCTCCTGGAATCTTCCAGAAGGCAACATGTGCTTCAGTGGGACGTGCCAGAGGTTCTGCCAGGGTCAGTTCGCTGCCTGTGGGAGGCCAGTCCTTCTGGAAGGTTCGGTTTCAGCCTTCCTTCCTTACAACACGGCTAGCAGAAGAAAACGTGAAAAACATCCGTTCAGACGATCTTACGTCAAGCATGTCAAGGTACCATCTCGCACAGAGGCGTAGCGACCCTTCCCGGCGCCCGGGGACAAACTTTCGATTTGCACCCCCCTCAAACTTTCGATTTGCAGCCCCCTCAAACTTTTGATTTGCAACTCCCTCAAACTTTCGATTTGCACACCCCCCCTCAAACTTACGATTTGCACCCCCCTCAAACTTTCGATTTGCACCCCCCCCCCCTCAAATTTTCGATTTGTTTTTCCAACCCATTTTGTCGCCCCCTAAGGTCGACGCCCCGGGACATATGCCCCCCCCCCCCCTCCGCTCCCCCCTCGCTACGCCTCTGGTCTCGTATGTTCAATGGCTAGTAAGGTGGGACAATACTTGCCATATTTGAAAATATTGCTTTCTTTGTTGCATGTTACAATACAAAGCTTCTAACAAATTTCTTGTTTGAAAACATTTCAGTCATGTGTGACGATAGAAAGTTTTATTTATTTTCTGATTTTATCCCCCCCCCTCATCCCCCACCCCGCCGCTCAGTGGGAGATGAAGGAGGAGTTTTGTGAGGCCGACCTCAAGACAAGGGAGGTTTACAAGGGTGGCCGGAAGTTGCTGGACCTGATGGACATGGCCATCTTTGATTTCATCATTGGTAAGTCAGGGGAGCTATGGTAACCGGTTCATGAATGGTAAGTCAGGGGAGCTATGGTAACCGGTTCATGAATGGTAAGTCAGGGGAGCTATGGTAACCGGTTCATGAATGGTAAGTCACTTGAGCTATGGTAACCAGTTCATGAATGGTAAGTCAGGGGAGCTATGGTAACCGGTTCATGAATGGTAATTCAAGTCAAGGGAACTATGGTAATCGGTTCATGAATGGTAAGTCAGGGGACTATGGTAACTGGTTCATTAATGATAAGTCAGATGAACTAAGGTAACCGGTTCATGAATGGTAAGTCAGGGGAGCTATGGTAACCAGAAGGTGTACCATCTCCTTCACGGTTGGTTGAGTCATACAGCGCATTGTTTTTACCAAATTTACATGCAAGGTGCGGATGGGGGTTCAGCATATGCTGTTGTATGTTGATCTACAATCTAAAATGGGGATCCACGTAGAATGTTGTATGTTGATCTAAAAGCTAATATGTGAATCCACATAGAATGTTGTATGTATGTTTGACTTGAGCTACGACTGTTTGACCTTGCAGGTAACCTTGACCGACATCACTACGAGAGGTTTGAGGAGTTCGGCGAGAAGGGCTTCGTGCTTTATTACGATCATGGCAGAGGGTGAGTCACGTGACAGGTCAGGGGTCAGACACAGTTGTGGGCAGGTCAGAGGTCAAACACAGTCATGGGCAGGTCAGGGGTCAGACATAATCATTGATGGGGCAGGGGTAAGACAGAATCATTGATGGGGCAGGGGTAAGACAGAATCATTGATGGGGCAGGGGTCAGACAGAATCATTGATGGGGCAGGGGTAAGACAGAATCATTGATGGGGCAGGGGTCAGCGTAAAACATTGATGGGGCAGGGGTCAGACAGAATCATTGATGGGGCAGGGGTCAGACAGAATCATTGATGGGGCAGGGGTAGACAGAATCATTGATGGGACAGGGGTCAGACAGAATCATTGATGAGGCAGGGGTAAGACAGAATCATTGATGGGGCAGGGGTAGACAGAATCATTGATGGGGCAGGGGTAGACAGAATCATTGATGGGGCAGGGGTCAGACAGAATCATTGATGGTGCAGGGGTCAGAAAGAAACACGAACAGGGCAGGGGCGGACGTACATATGTAACCGTATGTCATGCTTTTTTCATCTTTCTACACTGACAAACATCAGTTATTTAAAGCTAAATCTTGCTTTTCCGGGTGTATTTTTTGTTGAATTAAATTTAATTAGTAAACAATAAAAACAATCGATAAATATTTTATCAATATTTATTTTTAAGAATCTCATGAATTTTGTTGGACTTACCCAATATATGTGTAGTCGCAGTTATGAATTTAAAAAAAAGTTCAATTATTAGTATACCGTCATGGCACTTGAGATGTGATAAAACCACAGCAAACATTGGTTGATTTGCATCATCTCCACCCCAGGTTCGCTCAGTGGCAGCATGACTGCGCCGCCTGCAAGACGCCCATCAAACAGTGCTGCCTCATCCGCTTGACCACTCTGGCCAAACTGGTCAAGCTCTACCAGGGCCCGGACAGCCTGAGTCACGTGATGAGGACCTCCATGAGGTCGGACCCCCTGTCGCCCATACTTGGCGAGACGCACCTGGACGCCCTGGACAGGAGGGTGGGGGTTTTGTTGAGGCTGGTGGCGGGGTGCGTCGAGAGGGCGGGGAACTTCCACACGGTCATCGTTGATGACAGGCACAGGTAGCCAGGTGATGACTGGAGGCCTCAGATCTTGGGCAGATCTTGGACAGATCTTGGACAGATCTTGGACGGATCTTGGACGGATCTTGGACATATCATCGACAGATATTGGACAGATCTTGGACAGATCTTGGGCAGATCTTGGACAGATCTTGGACGGATCTTGGACATAATCATCGACAGATCTTGGACAGATCTTGGACGGATCTTGGGCAGATCTTGGACAGATCTTGGACACATCTTGGACAGATCTTGGGCAGATCATAAAAGATCACGGACACACCATGAGACAGACATAGCATTGTCAAATTTTTGTGGCATGTCACCAGCATACGAAGTGTCTAACTATAACTAAACGCATGTTACCTTACATTTTTTCCACGACGAATCATCTCATTGTTGAGATATTTATCAAGATATTTACTCAACCATATCGCCACTTGGTAAAGGATGTTGGAGAGGCTCACCCCAAACAACTTGCTAGACTTTAATTTATAAAAATGTTCCAAGCTGATTTCTTTTTACAAACGTATTCAGCAACGAATTTAAGTATAACTTTGAATTATCATAACTCTAGTTTCTTGACATCAGAAGATTGTGTATTGATTGTAGTTGAACATCAGAAAGTGTTTGTTATGTGTTGATTGTAGTTGAACATCAGAAGGTGTTTGTTATGTGTTGATTCTAGTTGAACATCAGATGTTAACTAACTACATTTAAACATCCAAAAATGTATATATTTTCTTCAACCCTGTGATGATCAAGGATGTACTCATGTCCCCCCCCCCCATCCCACTGTTGTATTAAAATTCACATTTCTCTTGTCCAAATAAATCACATGTATAACGAATCGATTTCACTTTCAGCATTTTATACAGCAATCTAAAGATAATTTGTGCTGGAGTTTATTTAAATTGAGGAACGCTGACAAAATAAACATAAACGTTTCAATTGCATTTTTTAAATATATTTTAAAAAAGCTGTTCCCTGGACATGGCTGTTTGTATTTGAAACGTAGTATGAGGTAGACAACTGTATTTAAATCTGTTATTATAAGGTAGACAACTGTATATATCCTATTATATAAAAGACCATGTGCGCACTTCTCTCTCTCTCTCTCTCTCTCTCTCTGTCCGCAAAATATTTTCACAGGCCATGATATCAGTATTTTCAGCGATATATGGAGAACTTGATACTGACTTTTTTTGAAAATAATATGTTAGATGTTTTAAATGTATAATCTAAATTTTATTTAAAGAAGGAAAATAAAAATAAAGGCAAATTCAAATGTCGAAAGACAATTTTATTTATGCAACCGGAAAAGTATTTATAGTTGTGGCAAGAACGTAATAAACAATGACGTCATATGATACATGTTTAAACTAAGTCTAAAGTCTAAGGAAAGAACACATTACTAATGGCGCCATTTTCCAATTTTAGAATATAAAGAATTGAATTATTTAATTCAAATTTGATTTACATCTACTTATCTAAACTTATAAAATTTACTTTATCTATCTGGATTCTAGATCTAGAGCTACGGAAAAACTAGACTTAGAATCTAGATCTAGACTCTATCTAGATCTTGAATATATTTCAATATGAGTTTCTATACTAAACTATTTCAGGCCTTAATTATTATATATCGATTCTATATCTTTGTTTGTTTAGCTATTGAATTGGCGAATCTGGGATTAAATTTCATTTGAAATAATAGGGCCTATTCGCGTAACTTAAGTTTCCTAAATACTACATTTATTCAACATGTACGTTTAAGTACCTAAATAGCTGAGATGATAGAATAATAGTTATCATGTAGGTGGTACGGGTTCGAGACACACCAAGTCCATCTTAAATTTTTTTTTTTCAATTTTTTTTTCGATGGGAATGATAAAGTAGCCTATCGGGACTTGGCGGGACACGGGGCAGGTGAAGTAGAGTTCACCTGTTTCTTCTCAGCACATGAAGCGATAGTGTGGTCAGACCAATGCTCAGCCGAAATAGGTGTTTTTAAAAGACAAAAGCAACATAACTACCATTGAACAGCCGGGTTTTTAACAAAATTATTTTAAGTCTCTTAATTTTAAGCCTCTTAATCAGCGTGTGCATTTATTATGGTGTTGTTTTGACTAATAATGTATATAATTTGGTTTTAATTTTTGTAATAGGTATTGGTAGTCTATGTTTTTTTAAATATGTCGGAGTTTTAGCTATTTAGTTATTAATTTTCTTTGTCACTAATATCGTTCAACATAGCGTTTTAAACAATAACGTTTTTATAAAACATTTTTCTCAAAGAAGTATATCATTAAAATATATAGGCCTATAATTCACGTGTTATTATAATGCAGAAAAATATATTAAAATTTAGTTTGAAGTGGAGAACTATTAAAGGATGCAACAAAAAACTTACTTTACAGTTTTAACATCAAGATTTGGAAACCTATCTTTGATTTTAATTTTATTTGACAGATGGATGAATGTTGTCAAAATTTAGAGGATAGTGTCCTACCATGTTTATGAATGTCTTTTTGTGTTCACGAATGGCCAACTAATCGGTTCATGTTAACGAAAAATATTATATTTATAAATGCTCGACCCTATTTATTGATGTACCCATGTTCGCGAATACAAACAGCATCTTTTCATGTTCTAAAATGTTGACAAGAAAAACTATAACTATGTTTATGTAAGTTATAACTTATTTTATGAATATAAAAAAGTTCCTTTTGTGTCTCTGATTAAGTGAAATTATGTATGTTAGTTTATTGAGAGATATAATTGACATATTTGTGCGATGATGTATGTGTCTGCAGATCAACGAGATCACGAGAAATTAAAATAATTAAAATAAAGTTCGTTGTCTGTATGACCAGCGTCTATTTTTCCATTACTTTGTTTTTGCTTTGTGGATTTAGATTTTCCGTCTTTTTGTACAATTGTGTTATTGTTTTATCTTTTGATATTAATAATTAACTATATAAAGTTAAGTAAGGTTTCCAATTCAAACCTGACGGTCTATGGGGCAAGTGAAGTAGAGTTCACTTGTTTCTGTGACCTCGGCAAGTGAAGAGTGTGGTCAGCACTATGCCCAGCCGCCTTTACTTTCCCTAACGTAAAGACTTGAGCCCGGATTCGAACTCGAGACTTACGGGTTAGCAGCCTAGCTCTCTACCACAAGACCACTCCGTCCCATAATTAACTAATTAACATAGTTAACTATATAAATTTGGTTTAAATCATTGTATTGACAGAGTACACTGTAGCACATAGCTACAATGTTTGATAAAGCCAGTAACGTAGGCAGGTGTTGAATATCATAAAATCATTATTATATCATTAGGTTCATTTCATATATATATATATATATATATATATATATATATATATATATATATATATATATATATATACACTAGCTGCATACCAGTGCTCCGCCACGGTATATATATATATACATATATATATATATATATATATATATATATATATATATATATATATATATATATATATATATATATATATGATATATTATACAAATGTTCATGTAATATAATATTATATGGGGACTTTTTTTTCGAATCCCTCATGACCAATTTCTGAGTATGCCTCTGGATGTAGCACTATGGCTACAATATTTCATGCAACATACTAGCTACAATGGTAGATGTTACAGAAAAAAGCTGAAATCCATGTACTTATCATTGTACCTGTCACTTGCTCAGTGAAGGCCAGCAGAATATACCTTTTTAAAAATTTAACTTGCCAGTTCGGCATATCACAAGCGCTTTATCTAGCAAGTTCTGTGATACATCAAGCTCTTTAGCGAGCCACACATACTGAGGAAATATTGGGCTCTGTAGGCGTACAGATCAGCCCTTAAAGGCCCAGACACTTCAGGAAACATGGTCAAGTGAGGTTTTCAGACACAGACCAGTGAATTTGTCACAAAGACCAAACCCACCAGGTCCACTATTGGTGTTATAGACACTATGATCTGTGAGTCTGCTGTAATTAACTTGTGTTTGCCCAGCGAAACATACTACAACTGAATTTTGCCAAGGTAAGCTACAACTGACAAATATGTTATCCCCTTAAACTTTCTACAATTGACCAATATTTACCCACCTAAACTTGCTACAATTGACCAATATTTACCCACCTAAACTTGCTACAATTGACCAATATTTACCCACCTAAACTTGCTACAGCTGACCAATATTTACCCCCCTAAACTCGCTACAACTGACAAATATTTACCCCCCCCCCCCCCCTAAACTTGCTACAACTGACCAATATTTACCCCCCCCCCCTAAACTTGCTACAACTGACCAATATTTACCCCCCCCCTAAACTTGCTACAAATGACCAATATTTACCCCCCCCCCTAAACTTGCTACAACTGACCAATATTTACCCCCCCTAAACTTGCTACAAATGACCAATATTTACCCCCTCCCCCAAACTTGCTACAACTGATCAATATTTACCCCCCTAAACACAGCTCACAGTCCCCTGACTTGTCCGTATTGAGATAATGTATGCAGGACGGTTCACTTATTGATGTATGTGCTAATGTCCCCCCACCCACTAAACGTGTTATTCAATACACATTACACCTCCCAAGTCAAGGAGTTTCAGTCACAGATTGCCACCATCGATTGAGCCGCTCAACATTCTAGCATGGCTGATGTTGTTCACAAGATCCTTTTTGTTCAAACATTTTTTTAGTGATATAACAATTTGTTGTTAAACAAAAACAACTGAGACAATTCTTCCTGTCACCCACGCACGTCCGCGCTTGTTTCCTCACCGTGTTGGAACTTTTCTACCGTGACGTCTTGTACACCACATCATGGTTTAATATTAAAATAACCGTTGCATTGGTGATAAAAATGTTGTGGTTTTTACGCTGTGAGGATCCAAAAATCAAATTTTCTTTCCTTGTTGGTGTTGTGTTGTGGTTGTGTTTACAGACACATCTGTTTTCTCTGGAGACACACTGGAGCTGGGGGCTCACGAGCATCAAGGTACTCACTAGAGGCAAA